CTATCTATCTATCTATCTATCTATCTATCTATCTATCTATCTATTTATATATATAATGCTATGTAATATTCTAACAATCTAATATGTATGTGTGTGTATGTGTGCATGTCTTTGTTTTTGTGTATGTGTGTGTGCCTGCGTGTGTGCGTGTGTGCGTGTGTGCGTGTGTACATAATATATGCATCATAAATATTGCTTTCGGTTATAATGGGTTGTTTCATAACCGATTATTGTTCCACAAAGAAAGCAAAGCAAACAGAATGTGGAAGGACCTGCTAGCCCCGTATGCCAGAAGGTACAGTACCGTGAACGGTCGTCAGAGTACGATTGTGTATCTCACCGTGCTGTTCAAACAGGATATCGACCTACGGGCGGCAGTAAATATGGGCCCCCCACGAGATGAGCTGGATGAACGTGTAATTAACGAGAGTGTAAACAAAGCCAATCGATTGCGATGCAGGAGAAATACGTAGCCGCGGTTCACGAGCAATTAGATAGATTTGTCCAATGTCTGGACCCGTGCGTTTGGTAGCGCTATGTATTCCAACAATCGGTGTTATTACTATCAAGAAAATCGTGGGGTTCTAGAAAACTAAAACTACAGGATTACACACGTGTGTGATGAGGGGTCAGACGTCATAATGCTTCTACCTTATGATAAACGAGATGTGTTTTCGTGAGCAGTTACTTCTATTTGTTCCGTTTGTGAAACTGTTGCTTTGTTGGTGGTTGGCGCGTGCTCTGGTGTGGTTTGCTTCTTCTTTCCTATCAAACATCTATCGTCCTTATCTCCCCTTTTTCTTTTTATGTTCGTTACTCTCTTGTAACACCCCTAATATTGTGGCGGTCATATGACGTTATGCAGTTGCGAGCGCCGTAAAACCTCTACTAAAACTAGAACCGTTTCTTTTAAGCTTGTGGAGCAGATGTTTACTCTCTACATTGCTCTGATGGCTGTGCCCTTTTATTTTCACCCTGTTCCATGTAGTCATAACGTTTGTATGCCTATTTCCTTTCGGACGTATTCTCTCTTTACTTTCTTTCTAGTGTTTCATTCTTTTCTTTATTCTTACCTTCTCTCTTTCTTTGCTGTATTCATTGACTCCTTTAGTCCCGGCCCGCCAATAGATTCTAGATGACAGTCTCTGTTTTATTTTACGACACCTCTTTCTTTCTTTTTTTTGGGGGGGAGGGGCAAAAAGCGTGGTCAGGTGCATTTATTTTTCTTTAGAAAGGGTGAGGCACTCTGCGCCCC